GGTACAAATTATTGTGCCTAGATGCTTAACATTTCTTTAAATGCTCACACAGTGAGAAGGCTTGAAAATAAAATAAATATACTCGATAAACTTTGACACCAATATGTTTAAACCTAGCAGTGACTCCACAAATCTCATGGTTTTTTGATTCCGTAATATAAAAAAATCTGTAAATTAATCGTAAGTAAAAGGATAAAGGCACTGTAAAGCCCAAAAAGTTTAAGTAAATCAAACCATTTGAGGAAACCAATTGCAACAAACTAAAAAAGTAAAAAAATTTATTCTAATGAGTACTGTGAACTTAATCCATTTGAGTAAACGAAGCAGTTTGGGCACTGTAAAACCCAATAAATGAAGGGAACTCAGACCAACTGAGTACTGTAAAACCCAATGTGTTAAGGCAACTCAAATTGTTTGAGGAAACCGATTGCTACAAACAATTTGAGTTAAAAAGCTAATCTATATGAGTACTCTGAACTTACTCCATTTAAGTTAAAGTGATGAGGTATTTAATTAACTCCTTACCTTCAACACTGAGTTCAAAACTCTTCAAATGAGTAGAATTAACTTTCAGTCAATTTTGAGTTAACTACACTCATTTTATTTGATAAAGTGGACTGTTGGGTTTTACAGTGTGATTAGAGGTTTTCATTGAACATGCTGTGGTACTTTATGTGTTTTTGATATGGCTAGTAAAAGAATATTGTTCTTGCCCAACTGGACAGTTAACCAGATGAGTGGTTCGTTTTCTTCAATGATTCGGTTAATTATTCATACATTTGCTTCATTCTTACATGAATAACAGTATAAATAAATGGACTCTATGAACAACTAAATGACTCAATGGTTAAGATGACCACTTGTAGCTACCTACTGGAAGTTTGTATTTGTTTGTTAAAGAGATAGTTCACCCAAAAATTTAAATTACCTAATCATTTGCTCTTCCTAATGGGGTTTTAAACCTGTTCAAGTTTATTTCTTCTCCTGAACACAAAAGACGATATTTTGAACAATGCTGGTTGCTGGCAGCTTTCATAGGAGGGGGAGAAATATTAAGGAAGTCTTTTATATATCTTCATTTTCGTTAGACAGCAGAAAGAAACTCAAATAGATCTGAACAAGTAAATGGGAGAGTAAACGATGACAGAATTTTCCTTTTTGGTAGACCAATCCCTTACCAAACCTTTTTATATTTGTACAGTATATTAAAAAATAAAGTTAAAAGCCATTTTTATGTAGTCATTTTTCAAGTTAAATACATTTATGCTACCTGTCATCTTCGTTAAAGTCTTCAGTGTTTTCTTTTCTGCCGATTTTGTTCATATAGATTTTTTTTGTTATAGCCAAAAGCCCTATAGTGCAGTACTATTTAAAGAGCCCCTATTATGGGTTTTTGAAAATGACCTCCCATGCAGTGTGTAACACAGCTCTAAGTGAATGAAAACATCCAATTGATTTTTTAAATCTGAAAGTGCTCCTTGTTTAAAAATACAGGTTTTTAAAATAAAAGTGTCAACTCAGAGTCGTTTAAATGATTCGTCGTTCGTCCAGATCTTTTGCCTGTTCGCATCGGCGTTGACACGAAATAATATCAAATATGAAGTGTCGGTTCCGGTAAAACATGAACGCACCCTTCCCTTCAAACACTATGAGTGCGGATGTATGTGGGACTGATCATGACTGAAGATGAATGACCACTAATAAGTGAACGTTCTGGTGATTAATGCAAAAACCTACCCTGCCAACGGGGATTCATCGCCGTCTGTTATAGGAAGGATCAGAAAACACTACTGATGTAAGGGACTTTGTCAGGAACTTTATCAATACACAGTTCATATGGACCAGTTTCTTCCTCCAGACTGGGTCATCGAACCAATCAGCGCAGGATAGCTTCGCGCTAAGAAGTGGTTTGGGAACAAATGAATCGCTGAACAAATCATATAGGAGTCCTTGGGATAATTAGGTAAAAATAAATGTGTATTATATGTCAATGAAAGTGACCTTGCATGCACATCAGCCTGTTGTTGGAGACCCCCAAAACTAAAATATGACCTTTAACAATGCATAATAGGGGCTCTTTAAATGATGCTTGCATTTAATAATGAGGTCAGGTAAAAACATAAATTTTGAGGTAAAAACATAAATTTTGATTATCAATTCCTTGCAAATCATTAAATCAATCAATAAAAATATATATTTTTTTTAAACATTTCTATGAGTGCGAGCTGATATGGAACATTGATGAAGATACTGCTTCAGAATAAATTACAATGTTATTCTCATGTTTAAAGTATTACATGGGATAAAAATATAGCCCTTTCAAAAATCTAAATGGCCACTCAGCGCATGTATCCAAGCACCAGCTCTTATGGAAGCCAAAGTGCATGAATATGAGAGAAAAAAAACTTTGAAATTTTTAGTGTTGTTCATGTTTTTATACAGCATATTTGTTTATATTGGCCGTATTTTTGTGAGTAGACTCCATCATTGCAGTGCTGAGCGGCATTTCAAAACGGTTCTGACCATCAAGCAGAACGTGACAGGCAGAAGGAAGAGAGCAGAGAAACACAGGGGTGGATTGGCAGACCGGATCTACTCAATATAAGCCCAGCAATATCTTCCCCCTCACAGAAAGCAATTACACCGCTGTCTGGCAAAAAGTAAACAGGAGTGTCAACAGCACTGAACTCTGCATGCATGCCTGTTTGCCTTGTGATGCAGCAACACTGTAAATCAATGCTGTGGAAGCTCAGTGCTCGGGTCTGTAACCGAGAACATCAAGCTGTACAAATCAAAAGTTGGCAAACTGAATATATGACAAATTTGACTGAAATGGCCTTCACTCTATTGTGCTTCTTAACAGTCATTTGTAGTTTAAACATTATATCTAGCAGATTATATTAAAATGATGAGCTAAAAGCCAATTAGATTCATTTTTTTTTTTTATGTGATATTATAATAATCACAATTATTTTTATTTAATGCCTTTAATGCTTTTTTAACCTTAAAGTTACAGGGGTAAAATATATTGTGTTCAAGTAAAAGTGTCAAATAACACTTATACATTATTTTTTTTATATAGCGGCTTTAAAACTTAATCCTCAGAGTGCTTTACACTCAAAATATACAGCGCTAAAACAATATTGCGTAATAGTAAAAGTGTAACCAATCAAACGTTTAAAATACTAAAACGCACACCTCAAAAAGAAAGTCCTAAAAGGAAAGTCTAAAATTATTTAAAAACCTTAAAAGATTCTGCTTACCAGGGGAGTGAGTTCCAGTGATTTGGAACAAAAAATAATACAATGTTTCACTGTGCATCTTTTATAAAAAGTGATAATTTGAATGAAATTGCTAATTAATTATAGTTTTGAAATATATTTCAAAACTGTGATTAGATTTGTTTCAAAATTATGATCAAACATATTCACATTTGATCTTCACAGAAATTAACCGGATTCACCAATGGCAATCGTTGTTCTTGTTTTTGCTGTTTAAATCAAAGACACTTTTGAGAAATGTAATTTTTAAAACAATAATTCTTGCAAACATGCTATCTGTCTGTCTTGTTCCATTCTTATTCTGTTCCATTGTTTATCCATCTGTCTGTCTCACGTTTCTTTTTTTGTTCTATTTCTGTTCCATTGTTTATCTGTCTGTCTGTATATCTGTCTTTCTCTCTTGTTTTGTTCCTGTTCCATTGTTCATCTATCTGTATGTCTGTCTGTCTGTCTCTCGTTCCATTTGTTCCATTGTTCATCTCTCCGTATATCTGTGTATTGCTCATTCCATTCTTGTTCTCTTTTTGTTCCATTGTTCATCTATCTATCTGTATGTCTGTCTCTCGTTCCATTGTTCATCTGTCTGTCTATTGCTCATTCCATTCTTGTTCTCTTTTTGATCCCTTGTTCATCTATCTCTTTCTATTGTTTCATTTTTGCCCCATTTTACATCTATCTGTCTGTCCCTCATTCAATTCTTGTTCCCTTTCTGTTTCATTGTTCATCTATCTGTCTGTCGTTCCATTGTTCATCTGTCTGTCTCTTGTTCCATTCTTGTTCCCTTTCTGTTTCATTGATCATCTGTCTGTCTGTCTGTCTGTCTCTCGTTCCATTTTCCCCCACTTCTGTTCCATTGTTCTTCTGTCAGTCTGTATATCTGTCTATCTTTCTATTCTTGTTCCATTTCTGTTACATTGTTCCTCTGTCTCTGTCTCTATTCTTGTTCCATCAGTAATCTGTTTGTCTCTCTTTCCATTCTTGTTCCATTTCTGCCCCATTGTTCATCTGTCTGTCTTCCACGCTTTCCATTTTTTGTTCCATTTCTGTTCCATTTTTCATCTGTCTAGCTGTTCTTCCATTATTTTTCCTTTTTATGTTAAATCCATCGATCTGTTTGTCTGTCATTCCATTCTTCGACATTTTTTTTTTGTCTGCCATTCTATTCTTGTTCCATTGTTTTATTAATTCGGTCTGTCTGTTGTTCCATCGTTCCTTAATTCTATCTGTCTGTCGTTCCATTCTTGTTCCATTGTTCCTTAATTCTATCTATCTATCTGTCTGTCTGTCTATCTATCTATCTATCTGTCTGTCTGTGTCTGCACGCCCGCCCACCCCCCCTGCCTGTCTGTCTAGATAATCTACAGTTCTGTCATTCTGCCTTTCTATTTTTAGTTCCATAAATATGTCTATCTAGAAACAAAAATACTAATCCCAGCCTTGTCATAAATTATTTCTAACTGGCCACTGCATTGTTAATTGTTTTATATATTTATAGGTCTATTAATTTTCATTCTGGTGGTTTAACGGTCAGTGAGGTTTCAGGTTTGATTAGCAGCAGGGCACGAGGTTAACTGTTAACCGGAGAGTTACACGCACCGTGTAAGACTCATCACCTGGAATTGCTGTTGGGGACGCTGTCTACAGTTAATGAAGCGTAAACTGTCAACAGGTAATGAATGGCTCAGCACTCACCTCTGCTCTTCTCCTGCTGTCTGCCAGCTATGCTAATGTGAAGAAGTGCAGTAATGAAGGACGAGCGCTGATGCAGCTGGACTTCCAGCAGTTCCTCATGAAGCTGGAGAAGCTCACCGACCTCAGACCCATTCCTGACAAGGAGTTTGTGGAGACCTACATCAAAGCATACTACCTGACTGAAAACGACATGGAGCAGTTTATCAAGAACCACAGGGTAAGATGGATGACACATGACAGCTATTTTTGCTATTGCTATTTTTTCACATATTCTTGGTTTGTAATATTTTGTTCTATTTTTCTAATGTTTCAAAACAAACATATTTCTAAGTAAAAAAATTTTACCACCAACTTATCCAGCATATGTTTTACACAGCGGATGGCCTTCTAGCTGCAACCCAGCACTGGGAAGCATCTTTTACCTATTTTTTAATATAAAAAATTTAATAAGACAATATTAAAAACTAAAATAAAAAGGGATAATAATTAAAAATGGTGAATGCAATTTAAAAAAAATTTAAATAATAATTTAAAAATAATGCAAATGAAGGGTAGCTTATAATAATTCGTTTAAACAAAATCACATTTTATTCTTTTCTTAGAAGTGCCTTGTCAAACCTTTTTATGCTAATGTTCGGATCAAACATTCTTGCATATACTGTAAAAATCGAATCTCATATTCTAATGAAGCATTAGCATATTTTATAAATGACGCATCACTAAATGTTTGCCTTTTAAATGTCAAGACAAACGCTGGCTTGGCTCCAAATGTGCTTGTGATGTTGCTTAGTAAGGCATATCCTGCAAGACTGGCTTTAATTCTCCATTAAAGAGATGTATGGTTATGACTGTCATCTCCGCTCGATTTATCACCAGTTTGTTTTGTATTTACCCAGGAGTACTCGATGAAGCAGCTGACTAACCTGGTCAACGTCTGCCTCGGGTCCCACATCAACAAGAAAGCACGACAGAAACTCCTCGCAGCCATTGATGACATTGACCGGCCCAAAAGATAAATCACTGTCATCAAAAATACACCACAAAAGTCACACACACCTACACTGTTACGCGTCCCGTATCTGTCTTGCGTGGTCTGCAGTTTGTTTGTCAACCATGAAAACGTTTACGGTTTCTGTTTGCGTTTTGTTAGGAATGTAAGCAGGACGTGCTGTGACTACATATGAAGCGGCTGTAAAAGATAATGGGTAATGAAAGTGTTATCAGCATCACTTGAATCACAACATGAGTGAATGTCTCAGGCGCTGTTAAACCCTAATTTAAGCAGAGCTGTGGATGAGCAGCTGAATTTTTCCTTGTTGAGGAATATATGAGGGTTTTGTAGCATGAGGCTTTTTAATATGGTATAAAGACGTCCTTTAAAGGGACAGTACACTCAAAAATGAAAATGTTGTCATTTAATCATCTTCCACTTATTCCAAACTTGTATGGGTCACTTTGTACTGTTGAACACAAAAGTAGATATTCTGGAAAATATTTGTAACTGGTAGCCATTGACATCTATTTCATTGGGTGTTAATAGCTACCATTTTACAGCACAGTTTTAAAGAGTAACTTACTAAGTTTTGGATTTCACATTTTTGACTGAACTATCCTTTTCAAAGAACACTCCACTTTTTTTGGAAGTGGTTTTGCCATTTTTGAATCCATTCAGCCAATCTCCGGATCTCTCGGGAGCACTGTTAGTTTAGCTTAGCATAAATCACTGAATCAGATTACACCACTAGCATCTCACCTCAATAATTCAAAAAGGATTTTTGATAAATTTCCTAATTTAAACTTGCCTTTTCTGTAGTTACATTCTTTACTACTAAGATCAAAACTTTCAGTTTTTCTATTTTTGAGTCTTCGGGTCTGACTGGAGCACTTTTAGCTTAGCTTAGCTTACATCATTGAATCAGATTAGACCATTAGTATTTTGCTCAAAAATTCAAAAAGGAGTTTTGATAAATTTCTTATTTAAAACTTGACTTTTTTGTAGTTACATTCTTTACAACTAAGATCAAAACTTTGCGTTTTACCATTTATGAGTCTCCAGGTCTGTTGGGGGCACTTTTAGCTTAGCTTAGCTTACATCATTGAATCAGATTAGACCATTAGCATCTCGCTCAAATAATTCAAAAAGGAGTTTTGATTAATGTCTTATTTAAAGCTTGACTTTACTGTAGTGACATGCTTTACTATTATTGAGTTTTACTAGTTTTGATTCTCAGGGTCTGGCTTGAGCACTTTTAGCTTAGCTTAGCATAAATAATTGAATCACGTTATCCATTAGCACAGGGGTGGCCAACCCTGTTCCTGGAGAGCCACCTTCCTGCAGATTTCAGTTGTTACCCATATTAAACCCACCTGCCTGTAATTATCACGTGGTGTTCAGATCCTAATTAATTGGTTCAGGTTGCATGGGTAGCAACTAAAATCTGCAGGAAGGTGGCTCTTCAGGAAAAGGGTTGGCCACCTCTGCATTAGCATCTTACTCAAAGAATTAAAAAAAAGTGTTTTGATAAATTTCCTATTTAAAGCTTGACTTTTCTGTAGTTACATCGTTTACTAAGACCAACGGAAATTAAATAGTTGCTATCTTCTTAGTTGAAATGGCTAGGCACAATACTCATTTGGTTAAATAATCAAGGAAGTTAGCTGCCATAAAGCAACGATTTTTACACCGCGCCTGATAAAAGTCCCGAGCTTGGTGACTAGCAAACAACGCTGCATAATACTGCTACAGCACTAACGCACTTTTCAAATGCACAAATTAGATGCTAATGCTCTAATCTCATTTAATGATTTATGCCAAGCTAAGCTAAAAGTGCTCTAGCCAGACCCGGAGATCGGCAGAATGAATAAAAAAATTAATAAACTAATTTATTTAAATCTCAAATGGCTTGTAAAATAAGAATATTTCCCCCCCAAAAAAGTGGAGTGTTACTTTTATACACAGTTGGACACAAAATGCATGTGCATAAATATTCACAAACACAGTCGCTCATTTCACTTGCTGTGCGTCACTAGTCTCACCCTGATACACAAACACTTATTTCTTTATATGTTGATTTTATAATTTATGACACTTATCTCTAACCCCAGAGGTGTGCTACTGTTGTCCTTTTTCATGAAACACATTTGTGCAGGAATGTGATTACTTCTTTGTTAATAGTAATGATAATAGGAAGAGACTGTAATAAAACAAACAAAAAAAAACATATAAACCTTCTTGCTAGAAACTATTTATTTCAGATGTCAGAAAAATATGTCTGAAATACAGAACATACTGTATTTTGCTTGCTGGAATGTGTTGCTTTGTTTGTGGTTACTAAACTGTGTAATAATATTCAGCTGTACCAAGTCGAAGGCAAGGACGAACAATAAACATGCTAACATTCTTATCATATGAACTGTTTTTTTATTTATAATAAGCTTTTTGAAAGCTTGATTATATTTGGTTATCTAAAGTTCCATGTGTGGTCAATATATAAATGTTCATCCAATCAATGAACTCGACACCTTAAATATGTAAATAAAGGGTCTTAACCCTGGGTTATAGGAATCTACATTTCCTATTTAAAGACTCTTCTGTAGTTACATTGTTTATGACCAATGTAAAATAAAAAGTTGCTATTCGTCGATACCACTTGAATATGATGCGATTATGTTTACATCATGACCACACATACTGCATATTTGACACCTCAAATATGCAAATAAAAGGACTAGACCCAGGTTTACGGGAATGTACCATGTGAAACATCAGCTTATGAATATTCATGATATTCTTTTAATGCTGATGAAAGTTTAAGCAGTGTGAAACGTGAAATAAGAAACCAGGATTATGTTTACCACCAAGGTTTAGAACAGGGGTGTCAAACTCAATTCCTGGAGGGCCGAAGCCCTGCACAGTTTAGTTCCAACCCTGCTCCAACACACCTAACAAGCGTGAAGGACTCAATTAGTTTGATCAGGTGTGTTTAATTAGGGTTGGAACTAAACTGTGCAGAGCTGCGGCCCTTTTGGAACGGAGTTTGACACCTGTGGTTTAGAATGACCCATTCACTATTTAAAGTGTGAAAATCTCTTGTTTTGTACTTTTATTTGCAATTATTGAATGGGATTTGCACTGTCAGGTGTCTAGTAAAGCTTTATCAATGCATCAACTGACTAAAAGATAGATTGTGAGATTTAATAATCAATACTGCTTTGTTAAAATGAAGATATACACTCACCTGTCCAACTGCTCGATAACACAAATTTCTAATCAGCCAATCACATGGCAGCAACTCAGTTTATTTATGTAGACATGGTGAAGATGATCTGCTGCAGTGCAAACCGAGCATCAGAATACGGAAGAAAGCTGATTTAGGTGACTTTGAACGTGGCATGGTTGTAAGTGCCAGACGGGCTGGTCAGAGTTCAGAAACTGCTGATGTACTGGGATTTTCACGGACAACCATCTCTAGGGTTTACAGAAAATGGTCAGAACAAGAGAAAATGTCCTGTGAGCGGCAGTTCTGTGGGCGAAAATGCCTTGTTGATGCCAGAGGTTAGAGGAGAAGGGCCAGACTGGTTCGAGCTGATAGATAGGCGACAGTAACTCAAATAACCACTTGTTACAACCGAGGTATGCAAAAGAGCATCTCTGAACACACAACACAACCAACCTGGAAGCGGATGGGCTACAGCAGCAGAAGACCACACCGGGTGACACTCCAGTCAGCTAAGAACAGGAAACTGCGGCTACAATTTGCAGGGTCTCACCAACAGTTTGGGCTGGTGGTAGTTGTGTAATGGTGTGGGGATATTTTCTTGCAACACTTTGGGCCCATTAGTACCAACTGAGCATCGTGTCAATGTCACAGCCTACCTGAGTATTGTTGCTGACCATGTCCATCCCTTTATGACCACAATGTACCCATCTTCTGATGGCTACTTCCAGCAGGATAACGCACCTGTCATAAAGCACAAATCATCTCAGACTGTTTTCTTGAAAATGACAATGAGTTCGCTGTACTCAAACGGCCTCCACAGTCACCAGATCTCAATCCAATAGACCACCTTTGGTATGTGGTGAAACTGGAGATTTGCATCATGGATGTGCAGCCGACAAATCTGCAGCAACTGTGTGATGCTATCATGTCAATATGGACCAAAATCTCTGAGGAATATTTCCAGTACCTTGTTGAATCTATGCCACAAAGGATTAGGGCAGTTCTGAAGTCAAAAGGCGGCCCAACCCGGTACTAGTAAGGTGTACCTAATAAAGTGTATAGTGTATAGCATTAGAAGTGTAAAATAAAAGGTATGGTTTACTCAAAAATGAAAAATACTTTATCATTTACTCTTCCTCATGTGGGTTTTAAACCTTTATGTGTTTGATCACAAGAGAAGATATTTTGAAGAATGCCTGTACCCATCGACTTCCATAGTACAAAAAAATGGCAATGTGTGCCAGGAAACCAGCATTCTTACAAAAAACTTCTCTTGTGTTCAACAGAAAAAAAACTCAAACATTGTGGGTTTTGAACAAGTCAAAGGTGACAAAATAATGACATAAATTTCAGTTTTGAGTGAACTGTCCCTTTAAGTTTCACACATGAAGTATTAAGATGTTTTGTTATGCACAATGTTTCATCCTCACTTTTTTATTTTAATTCTACAATAACTTTTTCCACAATGACATATTCCCCTTCAGGTAAGTCTTTTCCCATGCGCTGTGCAGTTTTCCTTTAATCCTCCATAGGAAGCGAGGCTTTAGCACTAATTAATTGGCTTCTCCTCGTCCTGTTATGCTGCTCTTTAAATAGCCTGCTCGGATGGAGAGAAGTATTGATTTGGCCATGACTCATCGTGAGTAGGAGGCATTTTTATGGTTTTTTAATGGCCGGCTGGAGGGCCGTCTGCGAACCATTGTGTTTAAAACATCAGAGGACCACCTGAGAAGAACATCCTCGCGCACACCCTCGTAACCGTGCACAGCAGTTTATCTTTCACTGACCACAAATATCTCTTGTGGACTGGGTGCACTTATTCATAGTGCATCTATAAAGTCAACTTGCAGACTAGTTTTGTTTTATTAATAAATTCAGCCTGTGTGTGCTGTTTTATTTTATGTAGATTTTTTATACAGACCAGTTTTGTTTAATAAATCATTTTAGCCTGTATGTGCTATTTTTTTAATATTTTGTTAATTTTGTATTTACTTTCACATTGTCCTTCACAAAATTATTTTATTTTCATTCGTTCTTTTTTTTTTTTTTTCCAGCTTAGCCCCTTAATTAACCAGAGGTCGCCGCAGTGGAATGAACCGGCATATGTTTTATGCAGCGGATGCCCTTCCATTTCATAGACTTTGAATTGTTTTCAAAAAATTTTTGTTATTTATTTTTTTATTTAATTACACTGCCCGTTCATGATTTATCTCATTACTTTAAAAAAAATAAATAAATTAAAAAAAAAAAAAAAAAAAAATATATATATATATATATATATATATATATATATATATATATATATATATATATATGGCCGATATACAGCAATATACAGTCATTGCCAATTCACCAATGTCACTTTAGAGCTAGTATTTGAACGATTCTCTAGCATAATGTCTAAAGTGATGACAAAA